ATTAATAGTAAAATAAAAAAAGTATCGAATTGTTTATTGACAATTGTGGAAAACTTTTTGGTGAATGACGTTTAAAAAAAACCTGGGGGTGCAAAAATAAATTTAAATGAGGCAAATTAAAATTTTTAATATTAATAGTATAAAAATAAAAATTTGAGGAGCGGCAATTGCCCCCCTACTAATGCATGTAGATTCGCCACTGCTTCTATGAGATTGCCACATTGGATATAAAATTTCTGGATATGATTGGGTTTTGTGGGTTGGTTTGGTTCATTTTGAAAATGTAGTATGGTAAGTTTCAGTTTTTCTATAGTCCTCGGATGACTCGGCTTATGGAGTCATCCATAATTATTCACAAATGGTCTATTGACACGTGTCCAGCAAAAAATACAAATTGACATGTGTCAGTATATAAAGTAATGGATGGCTCCATAAAGAGCCATGTGATGGTTCCACATAATTTCTCTGGTTAATTGTTGGTGGATATATTAAAGTAATATTTAAAATTAAATAATTAAAGTTGATTTGATGTAAAAGTAGGAGAGATGTGATTTGAAGTGATGATTAATTAAAATTATGTTAGTGGATGAATAGTGAACTAAAATAGATATGATGTGTAAAAATAACTGGTTGTTATTATTTAACTATTTATAATATTGAGGATTGTGAAATTTATTTAAAGTTGAATTAAAAAAAAAAAAATAGTTTAGTTTAAAAATATTTGGATTTTTTTCAGAAAGATTCGTATCTAAGTATCCTCTTAATGTCTCACTGAGCTTTGCATCTCTACTAATTCTCCATTTCGATTGTTTTGGATCACATTATCTACAAGATATATAATCTCGATCACTACATTAAATTGTTTCCAATTCATTTAAATTTGGAGATGACCAAACATTTCAGTATTAAATTTGTTAACATGTTTTAAAGCGTAATGCAGCGAAGAACTATTATGACTGAAATTAAGTTGCTACTACTGGATTGGAAATAACCAGATTATTTGGTATCCTATTCGAGATTAGTAGAATACTCTCTGAAGGTATATATAATTATCCTTGACAAATCAACTTGATTTTCCATACCACCTCGGCTTGAAGCTATATGTAGACATCGAAATTTTAATATTTTATTAATTAATGTCTTTATTTATTTTGGGACATAAATCCAAGATAAATAAGATATTTAATTAATAAATTATTTATTTCTTGTCCACCAAGTCAAATCTTAGGATAAGGAAAAAGATTATATCAAATCTTAGGAGAAGGAAAGAGATTATGTCAAATCATGAAAGACCAATCAAATTGAAGTCTTCTTCTCCAAGACGTCTCTCTCCTACACCTATAAATAGGGTTCTCCTCAATGCCTCAAACGTCTCAAACGCCTCAAACGTCTCAAACACCTCAAACACCTCAAACACCTCAAAATTATCAAAAGCATCTCAAAGATTAAAGTCTCAAATTCAAGAGCTCTCAAGAACCCTCTTGAAGATTTGAAGAAATTCTTGAAGAACCGCCCGAAGTTCATTCAATGAAGAAGAAGGCCAAGAAGAAGAAAAAGAGGCGGCAACTCTTCAACTCCTCTCAAGAATATCAATGGTGTTCAAGCGACATTCAATCCACGCTCGTTGAGAAGTTCAACCAACATAGCGTTTGATCCGGGAAAAAGCTATCAAGCCCTCGAGTCAACGTTATTCAAGTCAAAATCCTCTTTCAAGAAGATCAAAGAATCAAGTCCTCCAAGAAGTCTTCTTCAATCAAGTCAAGGCCTAACATCTAATACGGGAATAAGTCATTTGACCCCCAAATTAATGTTAACGAAATTCAAGACCAATCCTGAAGGAGATTCATTCGTCAAATCTATCTTTCAAGGTCTCAATCCCAAATTCATGAAGAGAAGAATCAGAGGAGATAAATAGGGATTGTACCCGCATATCGTTTGATCGAAATAAAATCAAGTTGTACAGAAATTTTATGTTTTTCATAAAATTTGTTGTTACAAATTTGGCACGCCCGGTGGGACATTCTCTACCTCTCATCTATTTTCTCCAAATCAAGTTCGGAGATCTTTGAAGATGCATAAAGACTTCTTTGAAGAAAATATACATGGGGCAACGAAGGATGATGTCTTCCTAAGCCATGAGTCCGTCATTGGGGGCAATTCACATTGAAAGCTCCATCAAATCTTCAAATTCAAATGCTCATTGATATGAGCCTAAACTATCTATATATTCAAGGCTCGTTGATATGAGCTTAAACTATCTACAATGCTCCTTGATACGAGCCTAAACTATCTACATATTCATATGCTCCTTGATATAAGCCTAAACTATCTACATATTACAATGCTCCTTGATACGAGCCTAAACTATCTACATATTCAAATGCTCCTTGATACGAGCCTAAACTATCGATATTTTCAAATGCTCCTTGATACGAGCTTAAACTATCTACAATGCTCCTTGATACGAGCCTAAACTATCTACATATTCAAATGCTCCTTGATACGAGCCTAAACTATCTACATATTCAAATGCTCCTTGATATGAGCTTAAACTATCTACATATTCAATGCTCCTTGATATGAGCTTAAACTATCTACATATGCTCCTTGATATGAGCCTAAACTATCTATATGGCTCCTCGACACGAGCATATAGTGTCATCATATCAAGATCTCCTTGACACGAGAATAAAAGGTCTACAAATCAAACTTGAAGGCTCCTTGACACGAGCATAAAATGTCTTCATATCAAGATCTCCTTGACACGAGAATAAAAGGTCTACAAGTCAAATATGAAGCTCTTTGACACGAGCATAAAATGTCTACATATCAAGATCTCCTTGACACGAGGATAAAAGGTCTACATATCAAGATCTCATTGACACGAGAATAAAAGGTCTACAATTCAAGAACTCCTTGATACGAGTATAAACTATCTACAAATCAAGTCAAATGAAGAACTCCTTGATAAGAGTTTAAACTATCTACATTTCCAAACCAAATTCAAAATTTTGAGACTCACTCACTACCAAGACATTTTGTCCGTGAACAAGTCTCAAGGGGGCATTTGTAGACATCGAAATTTTAATATTTTATTAATTAATGTCTTTATTTATTTTGGGACATAAATCCAAGATAAATAAGATATTTAATTAATAAATTATTTATTTCTTGTCCACCAAGTCAAATCTTAGGATAAGGAAAAAGATTATATCAAATCTTAGGAGAAGGAAAGAGATTATGTCAAATCATGAAAGACCAATCAAATTGAAGTCTTCTTCTCCAAGACGTCTCTCTCCTACACCTATAAATAGGGTTCTCCTCAATGCCTCAAACGTCTCAAACGCCTCAAACGTCTCAAACGCCTCAAACACCTCAAACACCTCAAAATTATCAAACGCATCTCAAAGATTAAAGTCTCAAATTCAAGAGCTCTCAAGAACCCTCTTGAAGATTTGAAGAAATTCTTGAAGAACCGCCCGAAGTTCATTCAATGAAGAAGAAGGTCAAGAAGAAGAAAAAGAGGCGGCGACTCTTCAACTCCTCTCAAGAATATCAATGGTGTTCAAGCGACATTCAATCCACGCTCGTTGAGAAGTTCAACCAACATAGCGTTTGATCCGGGAAAAAGCTATCAAGCCCTCGAGTCAACGTTATTCAAGTCAAAATCCTCTTTCAAAAAGATCAAAGAATCAAGTCCTCCAAGAAGTCTTCTTCAATCAAGTCAAGGCCTAACATCTAATACGGGAATAAGTCATTTGACCCCCAAATTAATGTTAACGAAATTCAAGACCAATCCTGAAGGAGATTCATTCGTCAAATCTATCTTTCAAGGTCTCAATCCCAAATTCATGAAGAGAAGAATCAGAGGAGATAAATAGGGATTGTACCCGCATATCGTTTGATCGAAATAAAATCAAGTTGTACAGAAATTTTATGTTTTTCATAAAATTTGTTGTTACACTATATATAATAATATACCATCTCGGCATTTGAGTCTAGAGCTACAAACGAGTCGAGCGGCTCACGAGCCGCTCGCGAGCGCTCGAGTCAAAGCTCGACTCGACTCGAGTTTGACCGAACTCTAGTCGAGCTCGAGCCCATAATTTGCATTGTCGAGCGGTTCATCGTGCGGCTCAATATATATTAAATTACTAAAATATCCCTATATATATTTAAATAGTATAGGCATCATAACACAAGTGCTTAATGGTAATTTCACTTAAAAAAAATCGAGACGAGCTCGAGCATTTGATTTCGAGTTAAGCTCGGACCGAACTCGAGCAATTGTATTTTCTTATCAAGTCGATCTCGATCCTCATAAATCGAGCTCGAGCAGCTAAAAAAGAAAATTCAATCCTACTCGATAAGGCCAATGATCAACTCGGCTCGACTTCCCGTCAGTAGTCTTTATCTTTGTCCAATACCAAATCAATCAGCCAGATTCATAAAAATATTTTATGGATACAAAAAACCTTTATGCACACAAGCACAGACGCACAAATATAAATTGATCAACAATCAAGACAACTATCGATTTTAGTGTTATCTTCAGAAAAGAATGTACTCGCTAGTACTTCCCAAAAATTACACAGAACTAATCAAAACAAAACAAAACGAACACATTCTATACGGCAAGTCTTCCATTGAAGCTTATCTGAAAAATCTGCAATTTCAAACAAAAGATTCATATCCAACTGGTCTTGTTTGCCTTGTTTGCCCAAGTAGCTACAGCAAACAAAACAGAGTTGAAAATCTGCGACACAACTGTATGAGGGAAGAACAATGGCTCATATTTCTTTATTGGAGCTTTAGTAAGCAAGCCATTTATAAGAGTTGCAACCGATCATATTAGGATAAATAAGAACAGATACTATAAGAAAGAATTATATCGACCCCACTGCAGAACTATAACACCTCATCCAGGGATTGCATGTGGGAAGTCGTCTAATAATGCGCCCATGAAAAAACTCGGCCCAAACCACTCATTCTCCAAGAGCCTAAATATCGGCAGTAGGGTAAAGACCCAGCATAGAATTACGTCCACCATTAGAATCTCCATAATATGGAGAGTGCAGCTCGCCAGAATGTGACGACTTACGAGGTCTGGTGTTTTTGGGAGAGGCACCGTACGAGTCAGTCGAGCCACTGCTCGTGTTATACAAAGACGAGGTCGGAAGCCCGTAGATCTTTGGCAGTCCTGTAGGGTCAGTACTCAAGCTGTAGCCCCTCTCCACAGACTCGGCTTCAAGCGGCAATTCATCCAGAGTCTGTGCATGGAGAAGGATATTACATCATTTGTATGAACACAATCATATGCCGGTGGAAAACTAAAAAATAAAAAATGTAAGTGGGATAAAATTGAAGTAGCATTTTCTATCTATCATTATTGCACACACCCATTAGAGAGATCCGTGAGCTTTGGATTTACATCCTAATGAAGGTGCAATACGTAAAATAGAACAATTATCAAGAAAGTATGTGTTTTATTGAAAGATTGCTTAGGCAACTTTAGTGGTATGTTGTGTAATTAAAACCTGTTCGGGATATAAAGCACTCACCCGAAATGCTTGCTGCAGAACCCGAAGTGTCTCCCGAGTACGCTTTCTCTTTGTGGCCACTTCATCTGGTTCCTGCAACATCTCTTCAAACAAATTGTCTCTGCACAAGGCATAGCAAGCATCAGCATGACTATCATTTTTTCCTCGAGCAACCCACAAATTGAAATTTACTGCTCTTGTGATCTTTTGGTTCTTTTCCTTTAATCCACAAGGTTCAACACACCACATCAATTTTACAGCAACAGAGTATACCTGTAAAGCTTTTTTATGAAGACATTATGAAGCTCCCGTTTGGTATGGTTCACCTACAAGATGAAGATACAATTTTTCAATGTATCTCAGTTATGATGAGTTGAGACTTAAACAGGTCGAATATATTGAACAATTGAAAAACAAATGAAAGTTGACCATATAGAAAATAGAAAATCATACCTTTGACTGCACAGGTATAGCAGCGACATTACATAGTATTTCAGAAAAAGAAGCAGGCGGGATTTTAAAATTTAGAAAAATTCAAAACCAGCATTTGCATCCGATGCTCTAGAAGTAATTTTTAGATTTCATAATGCCCAGTTGATAAATCCGGTCAAAATGCTTGAAAAGAATAAACTAATTAATCCATAAAGGCGTGCAAATTCTAGATAAATAATATATCATTACCAGAAAATGCATTATTGCTTTTGGTACAGAATCCTCTACATTCTTCCGCACAATATCATAATATGATCTTAATAACAGCTTTGTAACAGCAATCTCAACAGCCTCTTGATCCGAGTGTGATTCTGAAGGCCTCAATACGCTGGGAGGCTAATATTAAAGCACCATGTCAATAGCCAGCAATAAGGATCATACCTCTAACGACAAAATTGACTTACAACAGCGAAAATACTCAGCACACCTCTCTCAAATGAATCATTGAGATGCCCTGCTCCATGATCTGAACAGGTTCACTGAAGGGTTTGCTGGTTGAGTTCTCTTTCACAGAAGTGCGATTATCATGGCTACCGAAAATAGAAGATATCCCCCAGTTCGAACTAGTATTGTTAACTGGTAAATAATTCAAGGTTACATACAGTATTAGAATTAGTCATAAATAGGCACCTAAACCATTTGCAGCCATTCCTAAAACACATTTCACAAACAGACTTTAGAAATGGATTTGTCTTAATATAGTAGTTCTTTCTTGTTTCTGCAATAAACTATGTCAGCAGAACTTTTGATCCTCGGGCAGATAAAAAATGTGAGAAATTGACAAGCATACCAGGAGGTGCCATACAAAACTGACAAGCATACCAGGAGGTGCCGGCTTCTCAACTTCAGCAACTGGTCTGGCATTCTATTTCGCCAAATAATGAGCATCAGCAAACAAGCAATCAGTCATTTGGTGTGTGTGTGTGTGTGGGTATGGAGTTGGAGTGAGGTGGTAGAAAACTAAATTTTTGCCTGCATCAGGCACTTAGAGCACACAATTACCTGCTCCGGAACAATTCCATTCGCTTGGCGAGCAAGAATAGCACGAGATTTTTGACTTCTCTCAGAATTTGGTGCTTTATCTGAATCTCCTGAATCCTAATAAATATATGCAAATCGTTCAATCACCGGAAGGTCCTGATAATAAAAAATAATGGCGAGGTGATACTATCCATCGGCACAGGAAGGTACCTTTTGCCTCGGCACTGCTGCGATTCTAGAAGGCTTGGTCTGTTGTAAGGCAATCTCTACAGCTTTACTACCACCAATAAAATTTGGATGGGATGTATTTATGTAATCCATCTACAGCAGGATAATAAGACTTCAGCAGTGTTGTAACAATATTATGCAGAAGGAATACAGGCTGGTATGCATAAAAGAAAACTAAATCATATTCTGAAGCAAAGATAGGTTATGGAAATGATCAAATGGCTGCATTTTGATACAGAAAAATGACCTGTCTGATAATGTAAGAAAACTAACAGACATCAAGACGCATATTACCTCCATCTCAATAATATGTCCGATCATTGTCTCTGAAGGCTCAAGACCTTCCCGCAAAAAGTTTCCTATGACCTCATCCATGCGCTTTCGCAGGACTGGAAACCGTTGCATTTCATTAACCATACAGCGATGGCTCATCTAAAAGGAAACAGCCCGACAAAATGTCCAGATAAGATACACCACATAACAATATGCCATTATATAGTTTTTCAAACATGCACCTTAATCAGCTCATCATATATAAATCTAGCACACTGAAGACTTGGATCCAACAAACGAGCTATTTGTCTTCTGATGAGAACCTCAAATGGAACCTACAAATTTGTGATATCTCACACAATTGATCATACCGAAACAAAAGTAATTATATTTGTTAATATAAAATTAAAACAGATACAAGCAGAAAGCAAAGGGAAAACCTACTTCTGGCACAAATAATGCGGATTTAGGACCAGTTGCATTTTGAATGGCAGTACGTATGTCATCATCAGTTAAATCCTCACAAGGATCTACATCCTGCATAAAGAGAAAGAAGCCCATCAGATCCTACAAAGAACCTGTTCAGCTTTTCTTTGTCCTATGTGATCTTTAATTTCTAAGACGTTTAATGATATAAAGAGTACTGACTCGTAGACCGGCAGGAAAACAAAATTCAGGAAATTCAATTGGGTTTTTTACTTTTCTAAGTACAACTTCGCAGAGATTTCAAATTGGGTCTCAACAAGGGGAAATATACACCAAACTACATGAATGCTCGTGATGCAAATCAGAACGAACCTCTAAGCTCTTGACAAATATATTTTGGAAGATGTAATGGATTCTTGCTCCACCAGATAGCTCGGATGTTGACATTTCTTCATTCTTTCCTTCTATCATCGAAGAGAATGCTGTTTTGAACAAATGCGATTTTATTAAAACTAATAAAACTATTAATAAGCCGTCGCCTGAAAAAGTTCTGGGGTACAGAAAGTCCATCGATGACCTTGATATTTCTTACTTGACTGCATGAGAAGATCTCAAGTGCTATCATGGCCAATTGGGAAAAGGCAACACATTGTTGTCTAATTCGTGATAAATTATCAGCTTTTAAGTGAAATAAAGAATTAATTTTATCGTTTATGAGCATGTGATGAACATGAATAATGTAAGGAATTAGCTCAATAATTAAATAGTGAATAAGAATGAAATATCATCATGGTGGCTAGATTTTTTATATCCAGATGAAAAGACACACTACAATAAAAAGGCGGCAGGTTTAAGGCGTTATTATTTAATAATACCTTCTGAGTACTTCGAAAGAATGTTTAGTAGTAAAGCCCCCTGCCCAGCCTGTTCACCACAAGGTAATATTAGCTTTCAGTATAATTACATAATAGCATCTAGCATATAAATTGGAAAAACCATAAGAAGTCCTAAGTGATGTATAAACCCGTGGCGCTTTTGTTGCTAATAAATTTTATAAGAGCAACATCAGTGATCAATAAAATAAATTAGAAGGAAGATGGAAATCTGGGCGACTTCACATGTCCTGTATTTAGAACTCCAAGCACACTAAACTACGAGCTGCAAAAACAATAAAATAATTGAACGGAATAAAATAATCCATCATTACTAGAAGAAACCAAACCAAACCTTTGATTCAGTAATCTCTCCATAGCTAGCATGCTCCTTTGCAACAGAAACCAAGGCAGTACTGATGCGTGCTTTCAACCCTGGAAGAACTGTCTTAATATGTTGGACCAGAATCTGAATAATAACAAAGAGAAAGCCTTTAACATGCAACTTAGAAAATATAAAAGACTAAAAAAAAATCAGTGCAGCTTTGCAATTCATCCATATTATGGAGCATCACTTTTAGAACCAACTTCAAATTTTACAGGACATAGTTGCTATTAAGAGCACACTACTGCAAGTTAGTAAAGACAAATAAAAAGGAAAGCATTTGAGGTTTTCTAATTCTACCCAACCATAATCAAGTAGATATTTAACTAGTTCAGTTTATCAATGTCTACAGGCTAAAATCCTGCTGTGGCGGCGCCATAACCGCCATCCTTCACAATTTTACCATGGCAATTTGGCAGAATCCGCAAAGCTATACCGCCATGGCGGAATTTCTGCCATCTGCCATTAATAATACTAACAAGTTAAACCAAGAGTCCTTTCAATTAAATATTAAAATAATGAGACAAACCATAGGATTCCATCAAACACTCTATACCTGGTTCAACTTCTTGGCCAACTGAGGGACCCCACAACGCTCAGCAAGGTCACTGTAAACCTGTAAAAAGAGTTACTTAAAAATCAATTGAGAGGATAAGCATGAGGGGACCAAAAATCAGTAGTTAAACTAAATAGATCATGCTCATACTGGCCGACTGCGGAAGAACTTCTCCTCAGCTATTAGGGCATCCTTGATGCTCCGATTCAATAGAATATCCTGCTCATAATGACAGTAATCACAGAAATGCCGTGCAAAATTAGCATTAAAGAATAGAAACATCAATTCCCATCTTAATACACAGATTTAGCAATGGATGGAAATTTTAGTAACACAAAAACAAAAACCAAACAAACCATTTTTCATGGTAACCGATGGTCAGTTACCTAATGTTATTCGGTTCGGAATCAGTATTTGGACCCAAGCTGTTCGGTTCTACCGAACCAAACCAAAACTTAAATACATATGTGTGTGTGTGTGTGTGGAAAATGCGACTCAGTAGTCAGAATATAAATAATGCCACAACTGAAAATCCTGCTATTGCTATTTGGACTCTGTTTTGATGCTGAAAATCCTGCTATTTTACTGCTGTTTTTCTGCTATTTTTGCTGCTGTTGAATTTTTTGTGCTTTTTGGTGGCTTACAACACATGTTTTACTACTACTGATACGCGGCTTTTTTTAAGTTAATACATTTTCGGTAATACTGAAAAAATTTATTAACCAAACCGATACTTCAGTTACCGAAAACTTGAATTCGGATGGTTTTGGTATGCACGTATGATATTAAGTATTAACTGAACATTTCGGTTTGGTTTGGTACTGAACCCAGCCCTAGTTATATGACGTGGCAACTTAAATAGAAGAGAGAGAAAGAAGAAAGATGGAGAGAGAAACAGAAAAAGAATAAGAGACAGGTACGTCATTCAGGAATAAACTAAAGCAGGTAATAGAAAGAAATATAAACAACTTACTGCATGAAAGGATATTCATCTACAGTCAGCCCATAATAATTGAAAAGTGAAAAAAAAAATCCTATGCACCGATTGTAGCTTCAAATATTCCATAACAAAATTCAAAGTTTTACGAAAGCACCAACAGAAAGTGACCCTGCACTTCAGCAAAGTAGGTTGTTGTATATCTTGAAAAGAAATAGTACCTCTTGACTACGATTCACAACACCAACATAACCAAGCCGAAGAGGAATAACTTTCCCCAGCAAAAAATTTCGGGCATCAGTACCCCTGTCCATAATATCCAACTGAAAGTAATAGCAGAAAATAAAGTGACATAAGAAGATAAGCAAATTGTAACCATACCATCACCACAAACAAATTACAGGGTTGACAACTTACCTTGGTAATTATACCGATTGTCCTATAACCTGCATGCATAAACTTTACAGGGTGAGTTGAATAATCCAAAACCAAAACTAGGTCAAATTAAAAATCAATTACAGAGTATTGTTATGGATGAATAACAATGCGAATAACAAAAGTTACCATCAGGATCGGCAATTCCAGCCATTTGAAGTGCATCTGAGTTAGCCAGATCTGAATTTGCTGGTGTAACAGCCAATATCAAGCAACTTGGACGCTTGATATATGACATTATCATTGTTCTTATACGTGCTTCTATATCTGACGGTTGATCACCAACAGGAACTTTTGTTAAGCCCGGCAAATCCACAAGAGTAATATCAAGAACATTTGGTGAGAAAATCTTTAAACGTATCTGTTTGTCTGAAACACCCTTGTTTCCACCAGCTTCTCTCTCAGTTTCAGCCTGACAGTATTCAGAAAGATAAATATTAAAAGACAACCAACTCGATTTAGTCTAAAAAGGAAGCAAAAATAAAACCACTTAGATCAACAAAATCACAGAGCATCAATTCAATCAACTTGAAATCTAAATCAGAATCATATCACCAAAAGAAAACATTCCTAGGAAAATATCTCTTAAGTGAACATAACAATAAAATAAGAACCTAGCACTGCTCCCTGATATAGCATCTGCTATGCATTGACAAGCATGGTTCAAAGATAAGTCTCAACTCTATACACCAAGCTTCACAGTCCATAGACTCAACACACCCAACAAATCTTGTGTCATCAGGACAATCTTGTGATAAGATCATCCATGATGCAGACAAAAGTTGTAACTATAAAGAATAGCCCAAAAGAAGTGCATCTACACCTACGTTACAGCAATGCCAGCAGAGAAACACGTGTAGATACACACCATTCAGTAAATAATGCCAACAGGATTTCTATTTGAACCATTAAATTAAAAGGAAGAAAAGTTCGAATTTTTCTCGTTAAACATTATCCAAATCTACTTGTCACAGTAAAAACGCACAATTATACAGAGATCCATCCTATCTTTCCACTGTAGGCAATGGCAGCACCATGTTGGGTTCTAGATACTTAAAAGGGTTTTTACATTGTCTGTATCTTCTCACATCGGTGTTCATATACAAGAACAAAAGTCTTCTACATTCTACTAACACAGAAGCTAGCACACGTGCCAACTGGATCAGGTTTCAAGTGCCAGAATTATACCCAGATAAATCAAATCATCATTCTAATAGTTTCAAACACTATATGGAAAGGAAAGCCAATATTTTCCAGCATTTACATGAACATGGAAAAGTACATATTTTTAAAAGTTTCATTCATTTACCACCTACATATTCAATGTTAGCATTAACTGGTTGCTCACTGCATCACTGAAAAGACACCAATAAAATACGGCGTGTGCATAAACCTGAATTTCCCTCCGGATATCATTGAAATCAAAGAACTTCTTCCCAGGCAAATGCAGGAACTCCCCCCACTCCTCATCTGTACCGTCATTCTTCCTCTTCCTCTGCACAAGCTGCAGCACGAGCGGGCGGCGTGTGCAGATATCATTGCCACGTGGCAGGAAATCACGCCCAACCAGAGCCTCCAGCACACTGGATTTGCCGCTACTCTGGCTCCCGACCACCGCCACCTGCGGCAGCTCGATAGTCGACTGACTTCCAAGCTGCGCGAATATGTCCTGTAGCTTGTTCACAATCGGTATTACCGAGTGTCCTAATGGCGCTGCCGCCGCAGTATTGTTGGCCGATGCCGCCGTCGATTGTTCCTCCGCCATTGAAACCGGTGTGACCAACAACTTCAAGTTATGCTGTTTGAATTGCGAAGTAGAATTCAAATGAATACTTCTGGACTAAGATCCGGTGTTGAAGATCGGGAGTAGGAGTTCAAACCCTAGGTAGGGGTGTAGTGTGCTGGTATAGCGCAGATGGTGATAAGAGAAAAGTTCTCAAAAGAGGGGAGGACCAATTGTGTGATTATTGAGATTCGACTCGCACAGCCAAAGAGAGATGGAATGATTTTGTTAGCCGTATAAAAATCGGGCTAGGCACCGGCGCCCGATTATCGTTTAAGCGGACCATTCCAAGGGTCAACATAAGTTTTT